AGAGAGGCTGACGTTTCGGGCCTAGACCCGAAACGTCAGCCTCTCTGCTCCTATGATGCTGCTTGGCCTCCTGTGTTCATCCAGCCCTGCACTCTACTATACAAGGGACTTGGCAGTATTTGTACGAAACACAGAAAACCAGCACACAGGTGCAGCAGGTAATCAGGAAGGCTCATGGAACATTGGCTCTTATTTCAAGGGGATTGGAGTATAAGAGTAGGGTAGTTTTACCACAACTGTGGGGGTGCTGGTGAGACCACACGTGGAGTAATGTGAGCAGTTTTGGTCCTCTTATTTAAGGAAAGATATTTCATTGGAGGCAATTCAAAGAAGGGTCACTAGGATGATTGCTGGTATGGGGGGATTGTCTAATGAGCAAAGGCTCAACAGTTTGGGACTTACAGGAGTTCAGAAGAATAAAGAGGTATTCTCATTGAGACGTATAGATCCTTAAGGGGCTTGACAGTGTAAATGATGCAACGGTATTTTCCCCCATTGGAGAGCCTAGGGCCAGAGGGTATAGACTCAGAATAAAGGGGTGCCAATTTAAGACTGAGATGAGGACAAATTTCTTCTCTCAGAGGGTTGGGTGTCTTTGAACTGCTTGCCACTGAGCGATGTGGGGACAGATTCCTTGTGTATATTTAAGGCTGAGATAGATAGATTCTGGATCAACAAGGGATTGACAAGTTGTGGGGAAAGGCTGGGAAAATGAATGTGAGGAATGCTGGATCAGCCATGATTCCCTTGAAAGGCAGAATGGCCTTGAGGGACTGAATGGTCTGCTCATGTTCCTATTTCTCAGGGTCTTTGGTCCTAAACCCATTCACCCACATTTGTTCCAGTGGACACCCTGGTGAAGAATTTTCAGCTTAGTAGTTTCACGCTTATGTGATCTAGCTCTAATTGTAGTTTTAACTGTAACATTCGTTGTTTCACAGCAGCATACTTAACTCTCAATTACCCTGCTGAAAATAACGTGGCAAGCCATTCGAGTTGTAAAGAAGGCAGGTCACCACTACATTCTCAAGGACGATTCAGGATGGGCCATAAATCCTGGCTGAGCCAGTAAATTCCACATCCTATGAACTAATAAAAAAATTATGTCCTTTGTTTCTGGATTCTGCACTAGAAAAAAAAGCCTCTGAATCATTGATGTAATGGTGCTAAAGTACAGATTAAAATTTATTGTTACTGCTTCAATGACAATGTCAGTACAATATGTATGAATTGACTTCTTACAAATCCTTAGTCAATTAGTTACTTCTAATTTGTACTCACTGATGCTTGATAGGCAAATTTGGCAGAAAGTTTTGCATGCCCAAAGCGATGAGAAGAGATATTCTGTTTTACATATTGAACACAGGATGTTTGTTGAACAGGAAAATTCTGTTCAAAACTGAACCCGAGACCATACTGGTATGCATAGATCAGCTCCTTTCTATCTAGAGACCTGGATTGTTAGAGGATCTTATAAATTAAATTTACAGTGTCTGAGACTGTATGATTATTGACCTACAGTACACACTTGAGTCTGAAAAGTTACAACGTCAAAGCAATGCGTATCAATTTTGTCAAACACTATCCATTTTGTACCACCAAGTGACATTCATTAAATATCCCCAATTGCTCTAAGACCTAAATTTTCATAGGAATGGAGAACTAAAATACTGCTGGACCTTTGTTTGCAGAACCCCTGCCTGAACTCAGCACCCCGAATTGTCACTGGAAGACGTTCGGGTGGGTCCATGAATCAAGGAAATAGCTGCATATTTAAAAGTGCTACCTTCTAACAAATCCAATTTCAATATCTTGGATTTCCAATGTCTCAACATTATACTTTTCAAGAGATGATCTAAACTTAATGAAGTTCTTTGAAAAGGGTGGCATGGTGGCTCAGTGGTTAGCACTGCTGCCTCACAGCACCAGGGACTTGGGTTTGATTCCACTCTCGGGTGACTGTCTATGTGGAATTTGCACATTTTCCCTGTGTCTGTGTGTGGGTTTCCTCTGGGTGCTCTGGTTTCCTCCCACAGTTCAAAGATGTGCAGGTGGATTGACCATGCCAAATTGCCCATAGTGCCCAAGGATGTGCAGGCTAGATGGATTAGCCATGGAAAATGCAGGGTTATGGGGATAAGGTAGAGGGTTGGGTCTGGGTGGGATGCTCTTCGGAGATATTGGTGTGGACTTGGTGGGCCAAATGACCTGTTTCCATGCTGTGGGGGATTCTATGAGGTAGATAATCATTTGGAGGATAAGATACTGCTTTTGATAGGTCCAGGAATATGTCTGGAGGAAATAAAGAGCCATTTGTTGTTGTTAAAAGTAGGGACAAATGTGTGTTGAAAGTAAATGAACACATTGGAACAATCAAGCTATTTAGACGTTTGAATTTCTAGTCTTTAAATTAAGAAAAAAAAGGTCTATTTAATTCAGTTGACATAAACCTAAAGGTTATCATTGGATTTGTACTGCATGACTAATTTCATAAACTATCACTATCACAGCGGGATGCTTATCATTTCACAGTTCGATTGGCAGCCCGATCTGATTGTAACATCTTGGAAACAGAGCTATGTATACAATGGATTAAGTAAGGCATTTAAGTGGTGTGAATTGTTTTGTCTCTAACGAATGAGATTGTTGAATAGTAGTCACCAATGAGTTGAAATTTCCCATTTTTTGATAAGTGCTTTTGTTAATGAGATTCATGTCAGGCAGTTCATCATGGCCAATGTCAACTTCTCATAAAATCATCTGATCTTCATCTCCTAAATTATGCAACCGACCTCTATGGTGGCTGGCTCATGAAATTGGAATCGTGTTGAAGTCATTGGGCAAATGCTTGCTGCTGCCATGACTTTGCAACTTTCACACTGCTTATGCCACATTTAGATCTTGGTCCCACAGCACTTCATGCACTGCAAGCGAGAAGCTGGCTTCACACTGTGATCCTGTACTCTCCTCCTGAACGATATGGACCAGAAAGGCATGATAGATCCCCACTTTGCTGGATAGTGACATGGGTCATTGTGGTCTTGAGGTTGTTAGAGACCACATTTTCTTTCCTCTTGTACTGTATGTTGTTTTGTTATATAGCTAAAACACCTAGAGAGCACACAAATTAGAAAATTAATTGGTGCACAGTTTTATATGTGGAAAACAGTGTTGCTTTTTGAAGCAGTAAGGTTGTTACTTTGAGATAGGGTAGCATCAAGGGTTTTTGAGCGAAGGAAAAATTGCCTAATGATAGCTCTGATTTGTCAAGTTACGTTTTGCTACAAATCTGTTAAGTGCAGAGCAGGCATAGACCTCCAGAATCTGTAAACTGAAAACATCCCTTTCTCCCCTACCATGAAAAGATGAATTAACCAAGAAAGCTTTAAAGAAAGAATTCTAACTAGAGTAGTCCTGGATATATTGGATCAAAGTGAAGAACAACCATCACTTTCTAGACAACAGCTTGTCATCTCAGCTAAAATCAAGAGGAACTAGGACAGACAATTTAACTCACTCTTGATACCAAGACTTTAGATCTTTGTAATTTTTTTCCATCTATATTTTTTTCTTCCATACTATCTGTGCTAAACCATTTGCCTTTTGTCTGTCTTAATCTTGAATGATTGTGTATTTTGGGTTGTTAAGGCTTATAGTTAGTTTAGATTTGAGAGTAATGGATTAGAAATCCTTTGTTTTCAGTCATTTGTTAAAGGTATGTATGTTATAATAGATAGAGATATGGAAATCTGGTGTGAATTACTTTTGTTCTGAATAGCAGTCAGCCAAATTAGTTATCATAGAATCCCTGCAGTGTGGAAACAGGCCTTTCGGCCCAACAAGTCCACAGCGATCCTTGGGGCATCCCACCCAGACCGATCCCCCTATAACCCACCTAAGCTACACATCCCTGAACACTACGGGCAATTTAGCATGGCCAATCCACCTAACCTGTACTATCTTGTTGATCTCATTGGAATTTGATGCATTTTGTGATGGCTTGTGGAGTAGTGAGACATGCTTCCCAGTTGACTCATGACAAGGAACAAGTGCAATACCCAGCAGTGACAAAAAGAAATGCAAATTTTTTTTGTGTTCTGTAAGGTTAAATGCCACAACTTTCACTCTGCTGACTCACACTCACAGGGCCACCACTACTCACTCTAACTCCTGTACTCAAACCTTCCTTCATTAAAGGCTAACATTTCATTAACCTTCCTAATAGCTTGCTGCATCCGCATTTGGCCTTCATTGATTTATCAACAGGAACCCCCTGATCCCATTGCACATCCACGCTTTCTAACTTCTTACTATTTAAGAAATACCCTGCCCATCTGTTTCTCCTACCAAAAATGAATAACCTCCCATTTTGCCATATTATATTCCATCAGCCATATTCTTGCTCATTCATTAAATCTGTCCAAATCCTCCTGAATTCATTTTGCATCTTCCTCAGAGCACACATTCCCACTGAGCTTTGTATCATCTACAAATTTAGAAATATTACATTTGGCCCTCAAATCCAAATTCAGTGATATATGTTGTAAACAGTTGGGGCACAGTGCTGATCCTAGCGGTGTCCCACGCATCCTGCTGATGCAAGAATGATCTATTATTCCTACTCTGTTTTCTGTCTGTAAGCCAATCTTTCATCCATCAAGCGATACAATGCTTCTTTACTTATGTGCTTTTATTTTACTAACCAATGTTATATGTGGGACATTATCAAAATCCTTCTGAACATCAAAGTGTACAATTGCACTGCACAACACCTGGATACCATTTACTGACTGAAACCTTAAAAGCCAGCTAACCCTTGTGCAATGCCATGCTACTGCCATGCCTCACTAATTGCTGCAGTCTCCCAAACAATGAGGAAGAACTGTAAAGTGCTGGTACTCTAAGGTGGGATAAGCTGAAGATACCATGCATGCAATCATATGGTTTAAAAAAAAAATTCTCTGTAATGGAAGAGTTCAAGGAGTACAGAAATAAGTCAGGTCCACATGTACTACAGGCTAACTGTTTGCCAAATAACTAATACAGTAGAGACACAGTGAGAGGATGTCCAAACCCAGCCCATTCATTCTGAGAAAACCAAAGAACCGCAGATGCTGATTATCTGGGACAAAAACAGAAACTGCTGGAGAATGTGAGCAGGTCTGGCAGCACCTGTGGAGAAAAAGCAGCTTTAACATTTTGGGACCAGCGACCTTTTTTCGGAACTGATTGTAGCTAGGAAAAGATGGGGTGGGGATGAGGGTTATGGAGTAAACAAGAGGTGGAGATGGAGCCCAGAGAGAGAGAGAACAGTATTAGGGCAGACAAAATAGTCAGCCTGGGAAGGCCAATAGCTGCTAATAGGGACTATTTGAACCTGAGAATGGATTCGTTGTGGCAACAACCCATGTGATGACAAGGCCTGGTGTGATAGGGTTGGGGGAAGGATATCGAAAAAAGTGCTCAGGTCCTAAAATTATTGAGTCCCTAAGCAGAAAATGAGAATCCACTTTGAGATTCAAACATGATGTGATAAATGTATAGTAAAGTTGCCAGTGAACAGACTCAAAGTGTAAGAGGTCAGTGCTTTACAGAGTGACATGGGGAAAGTGAGATATTTGTCAAGAATAGTTCTGCCTGCTGAAATAAAAGGATAGAAGTCAAATCAGAGTCACAAACCAATACTTCGAGGACCAATAGGCATTAAAAAAATTGGGTATTGAAAGAAGGTGATGTAGTGACTTTATACATATATAGAGGTGTAATAAATTACATAGTGTTCTGCAATTATGTTTTCTATGTAAAACTAAACTGTGGCAATATGCCTGCAAGAAATGGTGACTAAAGGTGGGGTAGTTCATCATTCTATGCTGAGTCTAAGTGTCCTTTTGAATATCAATGGTGAGGATAAACCATTTGAGTGTCTTATTAAGAAGAGACATTGGTCTTACATATCAAGGTATAGATTATTGCATGATAATAATAATTATGATTAACATTAATAAGTTAGCATAATTACAACTATCAGGAGCCAGAGATGACACGTTATTTCTGTTGTGACCTTGTGCAAAACAGTTCAATTCTCCACACAAAGACTATGTTACATCATGACATTGGGTGGAGCTCATGCGCCTTTCAACATTAGTTCTTTTAGAAGAATTCCTTCATACAACAATGTCAAATTTCAAACAAATCCAGAAGTTTTTTGAAGGACTGAATCCAGGAAATGATATTTTCACAGTTCTGTGAACATACAGAATGAATCTCCTTATAGGCAAGAGAGAGCAAAACCCTTCGAATCATTTAAGAAACAGTTGGACATGATCATGAGGCAGATGTTGGTTGCTTCTGGCTGGATTAGGAAATATGGACCAAAATTGTCAGACTGAAAAAGTCAGAGCTATTCCATCATTAAGTCCTTATAATTTATTATTGTTGGCATACTAATTGTTCATTACAAATAGTGTTTATACTCTATGTATTAATTGCATGACATGGTAATGAATTGACTATGCTGAATTCCCTGAATAAATTTTTTGTAAATATTATCTAAGTATTTTCAATTGATAAAAACGTACCTGGCATCTCTGAGAATACTTATTTGCTAAGTGATCCTTAAATGCATTGAGAAAGAAGTTTGACAGTAAAACGGGCCTCTACTATTTTTAATATCTACATTTTCTCCTTATTCACAGGGTAAACTTGTCTTGGTGAATGAAACAGATGGCACTGAGCGTACCATCAATCTCAAAGGGATTGGCAAAAAGCCTGTGGCCGTGGATCATGTCATGATAGACTGCCAAGTAAGACAGATTACAAGGCAGGTCTTAATGGTTCCTAATTATACTCAAACCAGGTTAACATGTAAGGTAAGAGAGTTCAGATTTTACAACATAAGCTTGATTTCCTTGCCAAAAGAATTTAATATAAACTATACCATACTACAATATTTATTGAGTTCACATCAATTTGAAAATCAATTACTGAAACAAATTAAAACTAAATGGGCCCTTTTAAATCTCCCTTCCCACAACCACTCCCCCACCCCGCCACCCCAATCAGTGCCAGTAGAGTAGGTTCATGGCCTATTTAATTTTATCTAATCTGCCTATCTAGTATCTCTGGTTTTGTTGATGTATAAAGCTTTAAGTTTTCTCATGCAGTCTCATTAACAATTGCAATATTTATTTCGGACCCAATGGAATTTGAACAATTTCCTTGAGAGGAGCTGAATATGGCTGCCCTATCAGGTGAATTTGTTGGAAATATCTGATTATATCTTTTGACCAGTATACCTTTTAACTGACACAGTATGCCAGTATTCTTCTAAGAGGCATACTCCTGAGCTAATCATTTTATCATAAAATTTGGCATCAGTGTATTATGGTTGCTTATTCCACCTTAACTCCGAACACTTGAAGCATGACAGGCTCTTGAATGCATTCTGCTGATTTAAAACCTACTAATTTAATATCAACCCAGACAATGCATGAGCCTGTGAATGTAATAGATATACATATACTATAGCTGTAATATATATACATATTATATCTGTAATAAATATGTTTCTTTCATTAATACCGCCCTAGTTTCTAATATGATGTGTGTTAACATTGTTGCATGTAGTAAAATACCCTGTTGGTGGAAAAACCCACAAAACGATTGGCAGCAGTTGCCATTAAATAAAACACACCAAGATTCGGTGGCAAACATTTGGAAAACTAATTCACCAATTGAACAACAGCACGAGCTGCCATGAATACAATTAACAATACAGATTTGTTCATGGAACATTGATCAGCCAGAAGACACAGCTAATTTCTTTTTGATTGAAATGTATATTCCTTCATAATACAAGCAATTTCTTAGAAGTGCTTTATCTTGAGGATAACGATGTCTAAAGTAATTTAAAATAAACAGTTAAATCCTCCAGACAGCAGTGTTCCAATGTGCCCCTTGGAACAGATGAAGCTTTAAAAACACTAAAAAAGCAGCTTTCTACATTAAGACTAACTGGACTCCAGACCCCATTTTCTTTCTCCAAGCCAGCATGAAAATGCAGGGAACCCCATGCGATGTCATCACTCCCTATTTCACATGAATACCACTGATAAGAGCTTAAAGACCTGTAATCTTAAACTACAAGCCTGTAGTTATTAAATCAGCAGTTTTAAAGGCACCAAAGCCAGTTCAGGAGCAGCAACATGGAAAAATAGAGGAAAACAGAAACAATAAAAGGAAAAAAAAATGTAAAAGTAAAGAAGTGCTGTACTATCTCTAACAAGAAAGATTTAAAGATCCAGTCAACAAACAACTATCAACTTACTCCCAAATCCTCCATCTCTACCGCATCTCCTCTGAGGATAGAGCATTCCATTCCCGGAAATCCCAGATGTCCTTGTATTTCAAGGACCGCCACTCCCCCCTCCGGTGATCAAAAATGCCCTCAACCGCATCTCTTGCATTTCCCGCACTTCTGCCCTCAACCCCCTCCCCCAAGCAAAAATAAAGACAGAATCCCCCTGGTCCTCACATACCACCCCATCAACCTCCACATCCAGCATATCATTCTCTGCCTCTTCTGCCACCAACAGTCTGATCCCATGACCAAAGAGATATTTCCCTCCCCACCCGTATCCACCTTTTGTAGGGGCCGCTCTCTCCGTGACTCTCTCATCCGCACCACACTTCCCACTAACCCCACCACACCCAGCACCTTTCCCTGCAACCGCAGGAAGTGCTACACCTGCCCCTACATCTCCCCCCTCACCTCCATCCAAGGCCCAAAGCATATCATATCATTTCATATCAAACAGGGGTTCACCTGTACATCCTCTACCTTGGTCTACAGCATCCGTTGCTCCTGATACGGCCTCCCCTGCATTGGTGAGACCAAGCGCAGATGTGGGGACCGTTCCGTGGAACATTTGCACTCTGTACGCGACGAAAACAACACCTTCCAATCGCCAACTATTTTAACTCCCCCTCCCACTCCCTGGATGACATGTCCATCCTGGGCCTTCTCCAGTGCTACAATGATACCACACGCAAACTGGAGGAGCAATACCTCATATTCTGCCTCGGTAGCCTGCAGCCCAATGAACTTAATACAGAATTCACCAGTTTTAAAATCTCCCCACCTCCGGCCTCATCCCATGTCCAACCCTCCCTCTCATCCCCGCCTCCTTGACCTGACACAACCTGTCCATCTTCTTTCCCACTTATCCGCTCTACCCTTTCCGCTGATCAATTCCCACTACCCCCGACCTGCATCCAATCTATCACCATCCCACCTACCTTCCCCAGCCCCACCCCTCCACTCTATGTATTTCTGAGCTCCTGTCCTTCTCCTCATTTCTGAAGAAGGGTCCTGACCCACAACGTCGACTTCCCTGCTCCTCTGATGCTGCCTGTCCTGTTGTATTCCTCCAGTTGTACACTATATTGACTCTGACTCCAGCATCTGCAGTTCTTGCTATCTCCAAACTATCAATGTTCCCTTTGTCTGCCCATGTTTTCTCTCTGTCTGGGCTCCATCTCCACTTATTCAGTCACTCCTCCTCCATCACAGGATACCTGTCATCGTTAACATAAATACCACATTTTCTGCGTTGCTTATCGGTCTGAAGAATGGCCATTGGACTCGATACGTTCTCTTTCTTTTTCTCTCCACAGATACGGCCAGACCTTCTGCGTTTCTCCAGCAATTTCTGGTTTTATTTGTTTCCGAATTCCAACATTCATAGTTCTTTGTTTTATTTTACTTACATGAAATGTTGTACCTTGTTTTTTTTAAAGTATAAAACCAACCATTTATATTTATAGGTTGTATCAGACTTAGTAATAGTCAGTGGAGAACCATGCATTACCTTAAAAGCTGGGCAGACTGCTCCATATTTACTTAACATTTTACCTTGGAAACGAGGAAAGTTTACAGGTAAGAACACCAATTAAATAAATACATAAGTTTGAAAAAATTAACTGTTCTCATTTTAGCAAACAAATAATGTGTTATTGCAGCACTTTTGAACTTGAAAAAAATGTTTGACTAAATATAATATAAGATAATTCTGAAGATGAAAGTCAATGTTTTTATAGGTAAATTGGTACTTTTGATACAGGGATCATTACAGGGTAGAAAACAGAGGTTATCACTCACATTGAAAATATGTAGGTCAGCACAGATTTCTTGACATCTCTCATTTTCCATCAAAGTAAAGGAATTGGACATTTGATTTTCAGGACACTTGTGAAGACACTGACTTGTGGAAACACTGACACTCTCCCTATCTTTCTGGGTCTTTTACTACCTTCTTTAATGATACTTTATGAAGCTATTAGCCTCTCTTGAACATGGTGGCTTGAAATTGGTCGTCTGGTATACTCAGTCCATATATGTCCTTTACGTCCATATATAGAGCTGTGATTCTAATACTGATCTCTGGAATACACCATTGTATACTTCCTTCTGTCCAAATTCCCCAACTGTTTCCCATCATGCTGCTTTCTTTCTATTAATTACTTTTGTTTCCATGCTGCTACTGCCCTTTCATGCCTGTTAACATATCTACTATGTTTATCAAACACCTTTTGAAAGCCATATTCACAAAATCAACTTTCTCCATTGCATCAGCAAAGAACTGAAATCAAGTTAGTCAAATTGCATTTAACAAATCTATGAAGACTGTCATTGATTATGCCCTGTTTGGAGGAGATCTTGCAGATGATAGTGTTCCCATGTATCTGCTGCCCTTGTCCTTCAACATGATCGTAATCGTGGGTTTGGGATGTGCTGTCCAAGGACCCTGAGTGACTTTCTGCAGTGCATCTTGTAGATAGTGTGCCCTGAGGGATGCAGTGCCAATCAAATGAGCTGCTTTGTCCTGGATGGTGTCAATCTTCTCGAATGTTGTTAGAGCTGCATTCATCCAGGCAATGAGGAGTATTCCATCACACTCCTGAGCTGTGCCTTGTAGATTTTGGACAGGCTTTGGAGAGTCATGAGGTGAGGTTACTCGCTGCAAGATTCTTAACTTCTGACCTACTTTTGTAGCCACAGTACTTATATGACTCTTAGAAGTCATTTTCTGGTCAGTGTTAACCCCAGGATGTTGATAGTGGAGGATTTTGTGATGGTCATGCCATTGAACATCAAGGGATGGTGGTCAGATCCTCTCTTGTTGGAGATGGTCATAACCTGGCACTTGAGTGGCATCAATGTTACTTGCCATTTGTCACGTGACACCTGGATATTGTCCAGGTTGTTCTGCATTTGGACATTGACTGCTTCAATATCCGAGGAGTTGAAATGGTGCTAAACATTATGCAGTCATTGGCAAACATCCACACTTCTAATCTTGTGATGGTGGAAGGTAATTAATGAATCAGCTGAAGTAATTGGCCCAAGCTCACTCCAACGAGCAATGCCTACAGAAATGTTTTGGGACTGACCTCCTACAACCACAGCTATTTTCATTTGTGACAGGTTTGACTCCAACCAGTGGAGCATTTTCCTCCTGATTCTCATGGAGTGATTTTGCTGGGGCACCTTGATGCCACAATAGGCTAAATACTGATGTCAAGGTAGTCATTCTCATTACTTCTCACATCCTCATATCTCATACCTTCTGATTTAGAGTGACATTGGCAGTGTATTTTTCCTCAATGAAGACAGATGGAAAGTACTCTTTCAATACTTCAGCCAAGCCCTTGGCTTGTGAGAAAACAGTTCTTTTCTTTTTGATCCATGACTGATCTCGGGAAGCATGCCATTTTTGAACAGCTCAGGCTTTTACATATCTCCTACTGTTTGTCTTTCACTTTTCTTTCTCTGATGTTGAACCATTGAACCACTGAAGTTCAGACACCTGCCACCTTCTGGATGAAATTTTTTTTAACGTAACTTCTACCATCACTTTAAATCTGTGCCCACTGGCAATTGACATTTCCCATAAGGAAACGGTCTACAATGGCCACTCTATCCAAGGCCTTTTTACTTTGAACACCTGAATTATGTCATCCTAAGCCTTTTCTGTTTTAAGGAAAGCAATCCGAGCCTATCCAGTCTTTCTTCAGAGTTGCAACTTTCAAGCTATGAAAACATTCTTCTAAGTCTTCTCTAACTCTATGGAGAACAATTATGTCGCCACCGTACAGTGGAGACCAAAACTGTACATGCAAAGTTCCACCTATGGTCGAACCAGTGTCTGATTCAGTTCCAGCTTTACATCCCTGGCTTTGTATTCATTACCTCATCCAATGAAGGAAAGCATCCAAAATGCCATTTTTACCATCTTATCTACCTGTCCTGCCACCTTCAGGGATCTGCAAACATGTGCTCCAAGGTCTCTCACTTCTTCTATTCTTCTCAATGTTATCACGTTTATTGTGTATTACCTTGCTTTGTCTATTCTTCCCAAAATGCATGACCTCATACCCCAGAGATGGCAAGAACTGCAGATGCTGGAGTCAGAGACAACACAGTATGGAGCTGGAGGAACACTGCAGGTCAGGCAGCATCAGAGTAGAAGGAAAGTTGACGGTTTGGGTTGGGACCCTTCTTCAGAAATGGGGAGGGGGAAGGGAGCTCAGAAAAAAATAGAAAGAGGATGGGTGGGGCTGGGGAAGGTAGGTGGGACGTTGATAGGTGAGTGCAGGATTGGTCAGTGAGGTGGGAGGGATGGATAGGTGGGAGATAAGATGGACAGGTTGTGTCAGGTCAAGAGGCGGGGATGAGAGGGAGGGTTGGTCATGGGATGAGGCTGGGGGTGGGGAGATTTTGAAACTAGTAAAATCCACGTTTAAACCATTGGGCTGTAGGCTTCTGAGGCGGAATATGAGGTGCTGCTCCTTGAGTTTGTGGGTGGCGTCATTGTGACACTGGAGGAGGCCCAGGATGGACATGTCATTCAGGGAGTGGGAGGGAAGGTGAAATGGTTCGCAACTGGAAGGTGTTGTCATTTGTCGCGAACAGAGAGAAGATGCTTTACAAAATGGTCTTTGAGCCTCTGCTTGGTCCCACCAATGTAGACGAGCCCACACCGGAAGCAGCGGATGCAGTAGACCAAGTTGATGGACATCCAATTCCTGTCTGATGTGGAAGGTTTGTTTTGTGCCTTGAATGGAGGTGAAGGGGGAGGTGTAGGGGCAGGTGTAGCACTTCCTGCATTTGCAGGGAAAGGTGCTGGGGGTGGTGGGGTTAGTGGGAAGTGTGGAGTGGATGAGGGAGTCACGGAGAGAGCAGTCCCTAAGAAAGGCAGTCGGGGTGGGGACAGAAGTATCTCTTGGTTGTGGATCGGATTGTAAGTGGCGGAAGTGGCAGAGAATGATACGTTGAATCCAGGGTTACTGGGGTGATATGTGAGGACAAGGGGAATTCTGTCTTTAGTTTTGATGTGAGGGCAGAGGTGCGGAAAACATACGAGATGTGGTTGAGAGCAATTTCGATCACAGGAGGGGAGATGTTGTGGTCCTTGAAATAGGAGGACATCTGGGATGTTCGGGAGTGGAGCGCTCCATCTTGTGAGCAGACACGGCGGAGGCGGAAGAATTGGGAGTAGGGGATCGCATTCTTGCAGGAAGGTGGGTGAGAGGAGGTGTTGTCTAGGTAGCTGTGGGAGTCTGTGGGCTTGAAATAGTTGTTGGTTTCAAGGCAGTTACCAGAGATGGAAACGGAGAGGTCCAGGATGAAGAGGGAGGTATCAGAGATGGTCCAGGTGAATTTGAGGTTGGCGTGAAAGGTGTTAGTAAAGTTGATGAACTGTTCAAGCTCCTCGTGGGAGCACAAGGCAGCGCCAATACAGTCATTGATGTAGCGGAGGAAGAGGTGGGGGATACTGCCAGTGTAATACCGGAAAAGGGCCTGTTCCACATTTCCTGTTAAGAGGCAGGTACAGCTTGGGCCCATGTGGGTGTCCACGGCTACCCTCGTAGTTTGTCGGAATTAGGAGGCGTTACCTGCACCTCTGCCCTCACATCCCCTCTCCCCAGCACAAATAAAAAAAGAATTCTCTGGTCCTCACATATCACCCCATCAACCTTCGTATCCAACGTATCATTCACCGCCACAAAGACAAAGCTGCTGGAAAAGCTCAGCAGGTCTGGCAGCATCTGTAAAAGAGAAAGCAGAGTTAACCTTTCAGAGTTGACCCTTCCCCACCGGACCCGAAATGTTGACTCTGTTTTCTCCTTCACAGAAGCTGCCAGACCTGCTGAGCTTTTCCAGCAGCTTTGTTTTTTTCCTGATTTACAGCATCTGCAGTTCTTTTGGTTTTTATTTAGTATCATTCACTGCCACTTCCACCAACTACAATCCGACTCCACAACCAGAGGTATTTCTCTCCCCACCCCTATCTGCCTTTCATAGGGACCGCTCACTCCGCGGCTCCCTCGTCCGTTCCACACTCCCCACTAGCCTCACCACCCGTGGCACCTTTCCCGGCAACCACCGGAAGTGCTATACCTGCCCCTACACCTGCCATTTCACCTCCATTCAAGGCACAAAACAAACCTTCCATATTAGGAAGGGGTTCACCTACACAAACGTCAATGTGGACTACTGCATCTGCTGCCACAATCAGCAATGGCCTCAACACAGAGCTTGTGGAAGACCGCTGGAAGCCACATTACCTTCATAAGATTGTCTGTCGACCATGCCCCTTTGTCTTCTATCACTGAGCCAATTTCAGATCCAATTTGTCATATTCCTTTGTATCCCATGGACTTTCATTTTTCTTGACTGAACTGTGATATGGGAATAAAATCCATGCAGAGAGCATCCGTTGCATTCTGTCATCAATCCTCATTGTGGATTCCTCAAAAAAAGTAAGACACAACCTTTCATTAACCAAATCATACTGACTGTCCCTGATTAATCTCTGCCTTTCTAAATAGCAGTTAATCTTATCTCCTGATATTGATTGTAGTGATTTGCCCACC